ACATGCACTGACAAAGGCGGGGTCAGGAAGCAGCATGCGACAGAAGACAGCGGGTATGACACCCACGAGTGCTCGACCGGGCAACAGGACATGATAGTGCGAGGCATACCGATGCCGAGCGAGTCAGGTTCGAAAAAGGTGAAGCATGGCAGGCCGGACAAAGAAAAGACCTCACAGCGGTTCGCGACTATGGATCTTGAAAATCACATTGCCAATCTTGAATTTCTGCTCGGCTAGCCTGGCCCCAGCAGTTTTACCCTACTCGGGAGCTTTGGGCGGACACGGGGAGGTGAGGTCTCTGGGAAAACCGCAAACACTGCAATAGACAAACCTGGTGGGGCTGGGTCTGTCGGAGCAGCGACATCTTATAACTGGAGAGCCTTCGGACTCCAGACCTCTATCCACGTGAGGCTGGTTAGCTGGTTGGTGGCCTTGGCTCTCTCTCTCTCTCTCTCTCTCTCTCTTTCTCGCAAATTTGGCGGCCCGGCTTTGGACGAGCTCTAGACGCTAGAGGGAGAGGGGCCTCAGGGTCTGCAGCACGCTGTTCACGGTGCTTGGAAGGCATCATAGGTGGTACAGCTCTTCGTGGGCCCCAGAAACGGCAGGGCCGTTTTTTCACCGTTTCCCCAAAAAATATCCCTTGAAAGTGGAAACGGCAAAGAAACGGCAACCGGAAGCGGCAAAAAGCGGCTCCAGGGTTGGAACCGGAGCTGGAACCAGTCAACAAAAGCGGCGCGACGGAACCGGTAACAAAACGGCGTCGGAACCAGCAGCAGAAACGGCGCAGCGGAGCCGGTAACGAAACGGCCCTGTCGTTTCCAGGGCCCACTAAGCAGTAGATGGACAGTATATTCGAACCCTTACGCATTCGAGGGAGATTCTGAATCACCCCCGCGCCCCCGACATCAGTGTTGATCTCAGGAAAGGCGGTGCTTTGGGGCTCGAATGTTTCTGTCCACTCACGCCCCCGCCGTCGCCACGCCATCAATATTCATTTCGGGGGGTCTGGGGGGCATCTTGGGCCACAGGGCCCGCTCCAGGCACCCAAGCCTTGGGCGAGTTTCTGGCGCTGCGGATGAGGAGCTGGCGGCAGGCCACCGCAGGCCTGCGCACATGAGTCAGGAGGGAAGGAAACACACAGGCACAATTGATCGCTGGTATCCCAGATAAATATAGGAAGATATGGGAAGTGGGGGGGAGGACAAAAGCCCAGAAAATGTATGAAACTATGGAGTAGTTTTATCTGTGTGTATTTATTTGTGTGTCCCAGGGCCCCTTCAATGAATGCGATGCTTTGCGGCTGTATCGGCAAGCCTGTTGGCTTCTTTGCGACAAGCCGTCTGAACGCCGTCAAGCGCTTGCTGCCGCGTGACATGGCCACGCACTGTGTCAAGAGAGGTCAAGAGTGGATGCATCACCGCGGTCGTGAATGTTCTGCCATACCAGCTTCCAGATCTGGGCCCGGGCGTATCCTGCACAAGCGGTGCAGTCGTCGCCTGGCAGGCTAACGCCTTGGACGACAAAGCTGGAGTGGGAGAAGACAGAGGTACGAGGGACAGCATGGAGTAGCGTAGCATACAACGCGTGCAGCTCGGCTCCGTGGATGTCCTGATGCGGCCCTGGGAGGAAACCTGAGACAGTGCATACCCCCACCTCCGCCTGATGGTGCAAAACTGCAGCGGCGAAACCTGCCATGGTATGAAGCGGTAACTCCTCAAAACGCGATCCATCCAGGTAAATGTTCCCAGAGAAACGATCCCGAATGCCTTGCCATTTCAGGTAGGGTCGCGTCGGATATTGGAGCAAGTCTGGCGGCATAGGCGGCATGGCGAGCACAAGCCGTTCAAGAAAGACTTCAAACAGCCCGTTGGTGCTCGCCTTGTCGGCAGAGGTGTGAACGAGCGGGGGCACCTGCGCGACCAGGTCGGGGATGCGCTCGCGCAAAGCATGCCTGTGACAGACCGTGCCTGGGGAAGCCTCGCAGAGCAAACAACTGGGGTCCTGGATCCAGCCAGGCGCATAGGGACGTCACAGAGACCCTTGAGACGTCCTTAGCACTTGTGATCCGGAAGCTTAAGTTTGGCAACCGCTTCACAGATGGAGGGCGGGCGGTTTTCAAAATGTGACTCTCGCCGGAGCGCCGCGCACATTCGTCTGAAATTGCTGCAGGAGTTTCACGGATTGGGGGCGGGCCGTTTTCAAAATGTGGCTCTCGCCCCAGCGCCGCGCACGCTCCTGCTAAACATCTGCAAGGAGTTTTACGGATGGAGGGCGGTTCATTCTGAACATGTGGTTCTCGCTGTTGCGTTGCGCACACTCGTCTTGAACACTTGCAAGTTTTATGGGTTCTCATGGTCCAGGTACCAGACATGGTAGTTTGGAACGATTCAGTTTTGTCAGGGCGCAGCCGTTACGTTGATTCGCAGTGTTAAATTCCCCGGAATGGTGTTCTGACACGGTTCAGGATCGTCAATACGCAACAGTCAGCTCGATTCGTGGCGTTGGAGTCCCGAAGTGGTGTTTTGGCACGCTTCAGGATCTTCAAGCAGTTGTCTCCCAATTGGGTCTTCCCCCAGTAGAAATTAATCTTTGTAGGGGCCTATGAAGCGGGAGCTTGGAGCGAAGGTTTATTGCAACATCGTTGATGAGTCTTGGGTTTGCGCTGGTCTCGAAGAAGAAGAAGAAGCTGCAGAACTATAGACTTTCGGAGGTCCGCGGGGATGTCCTGGATCGGCGACAGCCCAGGAGGGAGGATGACATGGAACCCAAGCGTTCAACTCGTTCCCTGGCGCTTGTAACACCCGATCCTGGATTGTCCACCCGCTTCCGCCGATCCTCGCCGTTTGGTCGAAGGAGGCAAGTTTGTATGAGCATAAAAGTTCTGAGGTCCGCACGGGCTTCTCGGATCGGCGCTGGGGCCCCATGCGGCGCCTCCAGCGAAGCCCTTACCGCGCTCTGCGCCCCAGGAAGGGTGTCCCAGCGCTTGTCCAAGAGATCCCTTCGGGCCTCTGAGAGCTCTTGTTCATTCAGTTTCCTCCTCTTCTTCGTCTTCTTATATATATATCCTCCTCCTCCTCCTCCTCCTCCTCCTCCCTCCTCCATCTCCTCCTCCTCCTTCCGTAACCATGTTGGGTCAAGTTCGAAACGTGCGGCACTGACACTTCGAATTTGGACGCTGCCGAGGGGGCTGCTCAAGCGTCCTGTGTTCGAGGTCAGGCCTCCACATCTCACCCGTGGTGCGCCACAGCACACTCCGTTGCCGCATTTTGCCTTGGGAGCCATTCGATCACTCCAGTCTCGCCCGCGATGGCATCCACCGACGCGCTGCAGTCACTGACGGAGGACATCAACACGTAGTCCTGCGTCATGGCTACGGAGATGCTACAATGTGGCCATCCATCGAGAGTTACAGCACAAGGGTCTCAACCATGGAGACCGCGCTCGGTGCTCTCCAGTCGGGGCAGGCACGGGCACAGGTCTACACTCACACGCAGGCGATGCTCAGCCACGTCTCCGTCGCGCGGGAAGCGCGCTCCCAGTTTCCCCAGAGGCAGGTCAAGGAGAGCGACACAGACGACATTGGCATGATCTCATCTGTCTTTTTTCCAGGCCAGCATCTTCGTTATCTTCAGCGTCCACTGGTGGAGCCATCCGTTCGAAGAAAGTCGGCGAGCTGCGCCGTCTCCCGCTCATCTGCAGTCGCGGCCGCGTGATGATGAACCTGACCGCACATCGGGGGCGGCAAAGAGGGGGGTGATGACTAGGGGGGTGGATCTCATAGCGGGGGCCATGATATCTCTCCAGATTTCATGGCGCCTCTTCTTCTTTCAATACGTCCCTGAGCCCCCCCCCCCGGACCGCGCACATGCCGCCGGCCATGATTTGCGCCCCCCCTCTTGGACACCCCCCTCTTGGCCGCCCCCGAACACGAGAGCCTGGATCGGTGGGCTCCCAGAAGAGGTCCTGGAGAGTCCCCGCAAGACCCAAGTCGAGCACGTCCAGGCAGCGCTGCACTGGACAGCGCCCTAATTGCACAGACCGGAGCATCACCGCCAAGATCCACAGGTTCTCCATGAGCTGCAGCGTCCATTGCCAGTCCGACCAGCACTGCAAGGAGGTCCGCGGATGGGCTCTCGCACATCTTCCAAAGTGGTTCGACCCACGTAAGCCATCCTCCTCCTCCTCCTCCTCCTCCACCTCCTCCTCCTCCTCCTCCTCCTCCTCAGTCCATGTACAGCTACGATACGAGCCCGCCCGTTTGCTGCCGTCTTCGCCAACGTACGCTGTCCGTCCTCTGGCCCCGCGTCCTTGCGAAGCGCCAGGTCTTGGACCACTGGAGCGCTGCTGATCGCAAGCTGGGAGGGGCTCGAGGGGAATTCTCCATGACCAGCCGCGAGAACGACCGCCGCTGTGTCATGCGTGAGGAGTCAGAGAATCAATTCAGTATCCGGCCAGACGTCGAAAATCTTGCCGAATGGGGGATCGATGAGTCCGACGCGTCCCGGCTCATCAAGGCCCCCACAGATGTGACGAGTGATGGTTTTATCTAAGAGCCTCCCTTGTCACCGTCACGCTTATCCTCCTCCTTCTCCTCCCCCTCCTCGCACCCCAGAAGCCCCCATCCGTCCCAAGCCAGCCGTCAAAAACTATGGAAAACACCCATTCATCGGTCTTCGTTTTTTTTCTTCCTATTCCCCCTGCTCCTTTTCTTATTCCGCCTCCTCCTTTTTCTTGTTCTTCTCATCATTGTTATGCTTCTTATTCGTCTTCTTTTTAGTTTTATTTCTCTCCTCTTCCTCCTCCTCCGTAGCCATGTTGGCTCAAGACTTCATGCTGGGGGGACTGTTAGCCTCATGTCTAGACTGGGATAGCTCTGTTCCCCGAGCTTGCGCGAGGGCTGTTCAGCACGACAGCTTCTCACTCGCGACCCGCGGATTACTTTCTTTGCTTCTAGGCCTTGTGGCCATTTCCGTATCGATCTACATTGTTTCGGCAGCGCCATGGCGACTGGGCCAGGATCGGCGGCAGCTGGTGACAAGCTGAACGCAGACCCCTGGGCCGAGTCCGCTGCGAGTCTGCCCAACCGCAAGGACGGGGCCGCCCAGCTTCCAGCACACATCCGCAAAGAGCCTGAGGAAGCCATGGCGGCGCAGATCAAGACGGCCTCCGACAATTTCGAGACTACAGCGAAGAAAGTCACGGACGAGGCACGCAACTCCTTTTTGCAATCAATCACGAACATCACTGCCAACTTGTCGACGCGCCAGGGCGCCAACGAGCACGACCTTCTGGTCTTGCAGCAGTGAGTGCACGATGGCGAACGTGTCCAAGCAGAGCTCAAAGCGTCCGTCAAAAAGATGGAGGACATCATCAACACTGCGCAGGCGGCCAACCCGACCATCGACCTTGCCACACTCGGGACCTTGGACCGACAACCCCACTTCGGTATTTCCTGTGCCGGAGCGGGTACTGAGACGTCTCCGAAAGCAGCCAACGTCTGGATAAAGTGGCCCACCCTGCTGGATACTCGCTCTCGTGCGTGCGGTTCAACATTGCTGCTCCTACGAACCGCTATTATTTCATGGTTCTTGGTGGTGACGCTGTGGCACGCCCCATTGCGGAAGCTTTATGCGGCGCTTAAAATCGGAAACACGTACCGCACCTTCACGGCCTTCGACGCCCACGGCTCCGCAGTCGCCATGTACATCGGCGCCGACAAATCGCCGAAGATGGTCCGCCAGGAGGTCCAGCTCAAACGCATGCTCCGTATCATCAACGAGCGCGTCCCAAAGAACTAGAAGCTCCACCGCCCCAAGGGATGCCTCTCCTCTGGCGGGCTCGCCCCACGGGCTCACGCTGGCCAGCGCGCCCGCTCCGTCCATCCCGAGTCTGCGCAGGCAGTGCGGGAGGCAGAGGTGCCACGACGCCGCCTGGGCCGCCGCGGCCGTGAGCTCCACGCTCTGCTCAGGAGGAGAAAAAACACAGACACGATGAATCGTCGATGTCCCAGAAGATATGGGAAAACATGGGAAGTGGGGGGGGGAGACAGAAGCCCAGAAAGCATGGGAAACTATGGGGGATCCTGTATTTGTGTGTATCTATTTGTGTGGCCCAGGGCACCTTCATCTGCAGCCCCAGCCCGCCGCCCTCCTCCGCGAGGCGGAGCTCTCTCTCCCGCTTTAGACCCTCCCCAGCGGCCGGCTGCGCAGGGTGCTGCACCTCCGCCAGGAGCGCTGCGCGCACGGGGCGGGCCTCCGTCGTCGGGATTCCGCAGGTGCGAGCGAGGAAGGGTTTTAAGTCGGGCCTGTCCCCCTACAGGAGGATCTTCGGCGGAAAATAACAAATACCCCCAACATATACCAAAAAGGTAAACATACAGATATATACTCAAAACGTAGTCCCCGGACTATGTTTGGTTTTTGTTTGGATTATTTGGGGGGTATTTTGTATTTTTCGTCGAAAACCCCCTTGTAGGGGGACACGCCCGACTTCAAGGAAGGTGTCGTCGGAGCTCGCCCGGGCTCGCAGCAGCGCGAGCGCCTGCTGCGCGTCCAGCCCAGCGGCCCGGAGCTTGCCCAGGCGGGAGCACGCGCGGGCCCGGGAGGCCGCCAGGCGGGCCACCTCCGGGCTGCCCATGGCCGGCATGCTGCCGCCGGCCGGCAGCGCGGCTGGAGCAGCTGGTGCCCCTGGCGCTGCGGGCAGCGCGCCGTGGCGAAGCACGAGGGCCCGCGGCTCCACCTCTGGGAGCGCGGGGAGCGCCGCCACGTCCACCTGGCGCCCTGGGCTCAGCTTGATCTTGGTCGGGCTGCCACGGAGGCCAACCTGCGCACACGCAGCTACGAACACCGCCTCTGTCTGCGCCACCGCCGCGGGCTCGCAGATCACGTCCAGGTCGTCTTGGTAGCAGTAGCTGCGCCCTGGCTCGGTCGCCGTCCCGGCCGCGGCCATCACCGCGTCCGCCACGTGCTTGTAGCAGAGCGGGAAGAGCTGGTTGGTGAGCGCGTCGCCTTGGTCGTCCCCCTGCTCCTTGGGGAGCTCCGTGCGGCTCCCATCCCGCGCCACGTGCACATGCACAGCCGCCGTGCTCAGGCCAGCGCGAGCCCACGGCAGCAGCTCGGGGACCATCGTCTGGACGGCCCGCGCTGCCGCTGCACGGTCGTACTCGTTGTGCGCGTTGCTGGCGTCCAAGCTCAGTTTGCAGCAGCTTGGCCGGCTAATCAGGGCTGCCGGCTAAGCAGGGCTGCTTTGTGCATGTCCTCCGCTCCCCTCGCGTTACCCATAGAGTACTCACCGTCGCCGAGGGCCGCCGCCACCCTGCCACGGAACACCCTGCTCACCGCTCCGGAAGCGGCGCGGCGGTGGAAGATGCCTAGGGCGAACGGCCAGACTTTGTCGCGTTCCTCCCGGTCCCCGGCCAGGACACGGGCGCCCAGCCAGGCCTGCACTGCCTCGCGCGGGGCCTCGCCGGGCTGCAGGTTCAGGATCACCTTGGCGAAGCTGTCCCACGCCTCCTCGTGCCGCGGCATCCACGCCCAGTGCTCTCCCCGAGCGCCCCCTGCAGGCCCAGCGTCGCGGTGCCTCGGAGCGCGGGGGTGCGCCGGGCGCAGCTGCACGAGGAAACTGCCCACGTCACCAGCCGTGGGCTGCACTGCTGGGATCGTCTGGCTGGGCCGCCGCCCTGGGAAACAGCGCGGGGAGGCAGCGACGCGCCTTCTCGTCAGGCTTGGCATCGCTCGGACGTGTGCATTTTTTCCTCGGCGAGGACCATCGAGGAGCATCCTTGATGATTTGGCGAAAAAGCCACGCACGACACCAGAAAAAGCACAGGGAATGGACGTCCGAGCGATGGCCAGGACCCCTCCCAGATCGGCCGGACTCGCCTGGCAAGTGTGCGCGCCACAGTCTCCCCCTTCTGGCCCCTGGTGCCTCCCCGCCGCTTCCGCGACGCAGAGAGAAGGAGGCGGTCCGATAGTAGGAGCACCTTCAGGCCGCGAGTCTCGCCCGCGCCTCCAGCCGCCGCCAGAACGGAGTCGCACAGCGCTTCCCGGAAGTCCGCGACGGCGCAACGGAGCGCCTGCGGGACATTCGAGATGGTGCCGCACTTGTCGTGGAGACTGTCCCGAGTGACGTCGTCCCAACACTCCATGCGCTGGAGCTCTCCGTGAGGCCACCGCGCCGTCGGCCTGCACCAGCGCTGCCGCAGGCCGCACCAGCAGCGCCGCCGCCCCGGCTGGCTGCGCCCCAGCCCGCATGCCCGCGGCCTCCGCTGCGTCGAACGCTGCCTGCGCCTCCGCGCGCTTCTCCGTGGGAAGGTGCGCCCAACTCGGGCGAAGAGAACTGTGCACATGCTCCGATCCTGGCAACGCCCATCCTTGACCCAGGATCGGTGCATATACCTTCCTGGCCAAGGTAAGAGGGCGCATGCACCGATCCTGGGCTCAGGGTTGGGTCTGGCCAGGATCGGTGTATGTGCATAGTTCTCTTTCCTCGCCCAACCACTCGAGCCGCCGGGCGGGCCGCACGTGACCTGCGGCGCAGCCGACGTGGTGGGCCCGCGCTCTCCGGGGCCTCCGCGCCGCGCCCGGGGAGGGCGGGCCGGGGCGCCTCGCCGTGGCAGGTGGCGTACCTGGCCAGGCGTAAGTCGGGCCTGTCCCCCTACAGGGGGATTTTCGACGAAAAATAGAAAATACTCCAAAGTAGTCAAAACAAATCATCCAAAAATAGTCTGGGGACTATTTTTGAAAGACTTTTGGACCTTTTTGGGGCATGTTTGAGTATTTTTTATTTTTCGTCGAAAATCCCCCTGCAGGGGAAACGCCCGACATAAGGCCAGGCTCCTCGCCGTGGGCGCCGAGAGCGCCCGCGCCCGCCCCGCCCGCCTCCAGCCGGCACAACGACTGGGGCCGCCGCCGCCGTCGCTGCCCAGCGCCTCCGCTGGCTGCGTCGCCTCGGCCTCCAGCACCGCGCCCCTCCCCCTGCAGCATCCCTTCACTCATCGGGAGGGAAAAAACACACAGACACCATACATCGTCGATTCCCCTAGAAAGTATGGGAAAATATCGGTCGGAGTGGGGGGGGGAAAGACAAAAACCACGAGAGTATAGGAAAACATGGGGAATCCTGCTATTTGTGCGTGTTTAGTTGTGTGTCCTCCTCCTCCTCCTCCTCCTCCTCCTCCTCCTCCTCCTCCTCCTCCTCCTCCTCCTCCTCCCTCCTCCTTTCCTCCTCCTCCCTTTTCTTCCTTTCCTCCTTCCTCCTCCTCCTCCTCCTCCTCTCTCCCCTTCTCCTCCTCCTCCTCTCCTCCTCCTCCTCCTCCTCCTCCTCCTCCTCCTCCTCCTCCTCCTCTCCCTCCTCCTCCTCCTCCTCCTCCTCCTCCTCCCTCCTCCTCCTCCTCCTCCTCCTCCTCCTGCAGCATCCCTTCATGCAGCACGTGCGCATCCCTTCCCTGGTCAGTGGGCTGCGCCGCCGCCGCCGCCGGCGCGGCGCCGGGGATGATAGCGAGCTCCATCGTGTGAGCACACGTGTGTTTAGCAAAGGCTACGCTAACGTCGGGCCTGTCCCCCTACAGGGGGATTGTCGACGAGAAATAAAACATACCCCCAAAAAGTGCCCCAAAAAGGCAAACCAATACTCAACAAATAGTCCCCGGATTATTTTTGGACTATTTTTGGATTATTTTGGGGGATTTTTTTGTTCGTCGAAATCCCCCTGTAGGGGGACAGGCCCGACTTAACACAAAGGCTACGGCGGCCCCCCCCGCGCCGGCCGCGCCAGCCAGCCGTCGCTCGCTTCGAGGCTGCCCTGAGGCTTCGCGAAAGCCTGACGGGTGGCGCGGGGGCATCGGCGGCATGACCTGGAGCGTCTCTCACGGGGACGTTCGCTTCTCCTCCTCACCCTCCTCCTCCTCCTCCTCTCCTCCTCCTTCCTCCTCCTCCTCCTCCTCCTCCTCCTCCTCCTCCTCCTCCTCCTCCTCCTCCTCCGTAACCCTCGATCCTCCTTCCTCCCCTCCTGCTCCTCCCGATTATTTGTGTTGTTAATATGAATCAGATCCCTTTGATGTTCCGCCTCCTCCAACTCCTTCTCATGCTTCTCCTCCTCCTCCCCTCTTCCCCTTCTCCTCCTCCTCCTCCTCCTCCTCCTCCTCCTCCTCCTCCTCCTCTTCCTCCCCCACCTCCTCTTCCTCCTCCTCCTCCTCCTCCTCGTCCCCTTTCTTCTGATTACTCCCCATCGTTCTTCTCCTCCTCCTCCTCCTCCTCATCATCATCCTCTTCCTCCTCCTCTCGGATGCGCGGGCCTACTCCCTCGGGCGGGGAGCGAAAGGTGCGGGACCTGGGCAACGTCATGGCGCTCAGGCCCACCCCCCCCGCCCTCTTCTTCCCTCTCCTGCTCTTCCTCCACCTCCTCGGGCGAGGCGGCGACGATAATCAGAAGCAGGAGGAGGAGCAGGAGGAGGAGGAGGAGGAGGAGGAGGAGGAGGAGGAGGAGGAGAGGAGGAGGAGGAGGAGGAAGAGGATGAGACGGAGGATGAGACGGAGGAGGAGGAGGAGAAGGAGGAGGACGACGACAACGACGACCACGAACGGCGACGGCGAAGATGGCGGCGGCGGCGGAAAACGGGACCACGAAGACGCCGTCGCCATCGTCATTGTCGTCGCTGTCGCCGTGGCTGTCGCCGTCGCCGCCGCCGCCGCCGACATCGTCGTCGTGGTCGTCGTCGTCGTCGTCGTGGTCGTCGTCGTCGTCGTCGTCGTTGTCGTTGTCGTCATCGTTGTCGTCGTTCGTCGTCGTCGTTTGTTGA